GAGAGAGAGAGAGAGAGAGAGAGAGAGAGAGAGAGAGAGAGAGAGAGGCTGTGTTTTTATTGTGTTAAAGATTTTAGTTCTTCAGGAAGGAATCTGAAATAAGGGAACTGATTGAACACCAGGCACAAAGCTCTTCCCCTTCCCCCTTCCTTCCCTTCTCCTTAACATCTCCCTTCTTCCACACACACACTTTGACCTCTTCTTCTTCCTACCATATATCAGTGCTCTTCACCTGATTCTGATAATGGTCCTAACATAATTTCCAGATTCAGATTTGAGCAGATACTGGCAACTTTAAAATGATGATGGGTAAATGTCACTCACTCTGTACACAAGTCAAGAAAAGATACTACTCACTCTTAAGACTTCCAATCATCACCTCAGGGACTGCTCGTAGCTGGCCAAGGAAGCCCACTTCCAGGTCTCCTGTTGTACCATGCTAGGAGCCTACACAATGGCTCAGTCTAGGTTCTCAGACACGAAGCTGTTTAGTTCCAGTAGTTCTTGAAATTGGTCTGCTTGCCCCAAAAGTAGCTCACACTAGCATTTCACATTGAAGATGCTTTTCAAAGTTGTAGATCTAAGAGAAGAATGATGATATCATTGGTTTTATGGAATTGCTAGATAAAAAAATAGCATTTTTACTCAGCTTCAAACCACCTTGATGGATAAATTCAGGAATTTGTAGAAAAAAAGGCAAATTTATTTGTAAGGTGTTCGCTGCTGAATTGAGCTTTTAAAAAGAAAATGTTTCTTCCATGCTTTTAATATAGTGTCTTAACTAATTACAAGATGTGTATTTATAAACAGTTTGATTCCTAACACAGCAAATAGAAGAAAAAAACAAAAAAAAAGTACAAGGAAAGGCAAATGTCTTGGAGATGCTCAGACTTTGAGTGAACATTTGCTCTTTTCTCATGTCCAATGTTGAAATTCCCCTGCCTGGGTTTGACTTCTTCCAGACTTCACAACAGAACTACAACATAGGGTAGAACCTCAGTCCAGCACAGAAATCCATACGGCACCAGAACCAACAGGGAACCAGTAACCTAAGAAGACACAGCCCTCGGTCTCCCCACTGAAGACATAGATGGTCCCCAGTGCTCTGATTCAGTGCACCTCGTAACGCAGTGAATTTGTTACACTGGTGATAGTGAATAATCTCCAAGGAGAAAGAACATCCCCACTGTCCAATCAAACACAGGACTTCAGCTTCCCCACATCTTTTCCCCTAGCCAGGACAAGGTCATAGCACCATACTCATATAACCACATTCTAGATATTTCCAAGACTTCATATTTCCTCTCTTTTCATCTTTCTGGTTGAAGATCCCCTTTCAGAATTTTTTTCATGACATCTCTTCAGTGGTAGTCCACATTCAGGTCATTTTAACTCCTTTCAGAGTGACTTCAAGTTCTTTGACAAGTATAACTCTATGGCCTTTAAAATTCTTCCCTTTGTCCCTGCAAATACCCATAAGTGCTTGCTGCCCTGTGAGGCTCATGCAATTAGGTCTCTGAGCTGGAGGCAGAGAAGGTGCCTAGGACTCTGCAGCTCCAAAGCTTTCCCCACCAGATGTCAGCAGTCACAGAATGGTAGGGCTGGGGATCAGGTGGGGATGCAAAGCGTCCCATCGACACCCTTACCTCACAGGAAGGGAACAGAACCCCAGAAACGTTAAATACTGTGCCCCAATTACCATGAAAAAATTAAAATTTCCTCTACTTCCCTTTATTCTACTCTACTTCAATCAATTTGTTAAAATACTCTTTCCAAAGTGTGCTAATTTCTAGTCTATTTCAGAATATTATGAATGTGGTAATTTAACTTTTGATTGCCACAATGAGAAAGGAATAATGAATGACAATAAAAGACTTATATCTTGACACCTCCCATGAGCCATGCATGACTGATACAACACAGGGTCAAGGCCCTTCATGCAGCAGAACCACTAAATGGCAGTAAGGGAAAGGCATTTGAAACTCAAAACCTAATGTCTGCCCCTCGAGTGAGGAGCACTGAAAAGATCATTTACTGCTTCGTCGGACAGAATGCAAAAATCCTGGACCATAAATCACGATAACTCACAGAACAGAGTATGGAATGGAAGATTATTCCATCCATATATTTTCATTACTGGAGCATTAAGCATGGGCATAAATTCAAACATTCAACAAAACATGTGAAAAAAGTATTAAACTCTACAAGTGATCATGGGACTTTTCTCCAGCTAAATATTTAAAACAAAAGTAATTAAAGTGTAGATCAGAGATAAAATATCTGAAAATGGAACTAGTTAAGTTGAACTAAAATATTTTAAATTTCAAATATTAGAAATGGAAGCTAGAAGCACTGTAAGAGAGAAAAATAAGCAGGCTGTAGGTATGCTAATCTACACAAGGAAAAGAAGTTTTGACAAATATGTTTTTCTATTTTTCTTTAAACATACAAATATAACATGGTAAGAAAAAAGTCACCATTAATTTTTTTTCCCAGATTTTAGTTATTTGTGTGTAACAGTGTTCTCATGTGAGGGTGAGAGGACAGCTTGAGGAGACTGGCTATCTCCCGGCATCGCATGGGATCTGGGGATTGAACTCAGGTCCTCAGGGGCTTGGAAGCAATGGTCTCTTAGCTACTGGACCACTGCTGGTCAGCAACATCTCTTTTTAAGGTTTGTAACATAATAGGAAATCACCCTTCCTCCATTTCTTCAAAGTCACGTCTTCTCTAGAACCACCCTAAAATACAACTTAGGGTCAATCACAGCTTGTTTCTGTACTCTCTCAGTCAGATATTTACACATGTACACACACACATATGCATACATGTACATACACCACACACACACATACACACACACCCATACACAATTTTTCAATACATACATTTCAAGAAAAATAGTCAAACATTTGACAGGAGTCCCCTAAATATTTTTCTGAATATACTGCAGGATTAAAAAAAAACAAGATAGAGAATTTTAACTGACACATGACTTCATGAGCAAATCAGAGATTCAGTTCTACACATTTAACTGGTGAATCTACTTGAAATAATAAAATTATTATAAGTAACTATTGAGAGGAATACCCTATTGAAATACTATGACAATTATAATAATAATAATAATAATAATAATAATAATAATAATAATAATGAACTTCCAGTATCCATGTTTTAGACTTTCTTCAAAGGGTTTAAAAATGACATACACTTATTGCTTATGAAAGAACTTATGCACAAAGAAATAAATGAAAGCAGCATCCAAATTAGAACACTGGCTGACCATCAATATCGTGTTGATCCTATTGATAGCATTCTGGAAATCGTCATATAGTCTCAGATCTAAGTGGGCTTCTTAGAGTGCGGATTCACCAATTCTTGTTAAAAGCATTTTGGTTTCTTACATAGTTTGATAAAACAGTCATGTAAGATTAACTTCTATCTTCTCAATAGTCGCTTCAGTAAACTTGTGGATCCGGGTTCGAGTCCAACGGTGTTGTTAGGATCACAAGGCAAGGAGAGGGCTTATAATTCTGAGTGCAAATAGTTTTTCCCTTGGGTTTTGAGCTTTCATTCAATAATTGGGCTATGGGTTAAAAGACACTGTACCAGACACCAAAAATGTTGAGAGCCTCTAGTTGTTTACACAATGAAAACTGTAAACCTTTCTGTTCAAATCTCATTGCTGATGTTGAACCTCCAAAGGTCCCTGATGAGGCTGAACATAGAGGTGCTGCCTCCAGCCTGAAAGTCTTCCTTCCCTATGTTGTCTAACCCTGCTGCAATGGCTAATCTCGTCAACTTGGGAAGAGAATCTTGATGAAGAAGTACCCAGATCACTTGACCTGTGAGAATATAGGTGAGGGATGGTTTTGTTTTCCTTATTGATGTGAGAAGACCCAGCCAGCTGTGGGCAGCACCGTCCCTTGGTTTGGGGCACTGTATTGTGTAAGAGGTGAGAAGACTGAGTAATAGGTAAGTATGCATGCATTCTCCCTGCTGGTGACATCACACATGTACGGTGTGATGAGTGCCTCCAGCATCTGCCGCTCTCACTCCCCTAAAGTGATAGCATGTAGCCCGGAACCGTGAGCTAAAACAAAGCGTTTCTCCCCTAAGTTACTTTCGATCAAGGTATTTCATCACAACAACAAAAATGAAAATAAGAAACCTTCCTTTACGTCTCTTCCCCCACCACCTCATCTGCATATCCCAGAAGTCCTACCCATGAGCAAAAGGCCCCATTTCCCATCCTTTCCTGGTTTCCTCGCCCACATGTGGGATCCTATGTCTCCTCCAGTCTCCAGTCTACACCTTCTAACGTTTTCACAGTTCCTCTTCCTCACAATGTGCACGCATGCTTGCCTGTGCCTGAGAAATCTCGCCCTCTTGGAAAGATTCAACAATAGATCTTGCTTGCTTGTATTGTTCGTGGACCATTTTTAGCTGATCTCCACAATTTCCTTCCCTGCCTGCTGCAGTAATAAACAGCAGAATCTCAATAAGCCCTTATTGAGTTGAGAGATCTGTTATGCAATAGCCTTTTTCCTCAAACTCAATCTGTACCTCTGAACAAAACAGGAAGTCTTAGAAACCACGTTTACTCTTGAATATTTCACTTTAGTTTTTTAGTATTTAAAATATTAATGAGGATCTGACATTAAAAATATATGTAGGTATATACATATAAAATGTCTGCAAAGACACTCACGTCACCACAAACAACTCTAATACCATCTGTGAAAGATCAGAAACAATGTCATTTTCTAAATGGTAATCCGAGCATCCACTAACTCGAACACACAGAATTAACTCTGAGACCAGAAGGGTTTCTCCACTACTGGAGACAAGAAAAGTAGAAAATAGAAAGCTTTTTCTTAAACAGCTTGTCATGTGCTCATGGGGGGAAAATAAAAAGTAACACGAGACAAGAAAAGCATATGTGTTCTAAGTGTTTCTGTGCTTGGTTTCCAGCTTAAAATAGACGGAGCCAGATTCCACTGGGCTCCTACCGGTGGCGATAAACATGGCTGCCTAACAGTTGGAGAGATCACACGGAGGCCCTGGTATCCTCCACAGCTGCCAGGGAAATTCAAAAGTTGATGGAGCCAGAATCAGCATGGAAAGTAGGGCCCTGTCTTCCCTGTTCCTTGAGGCCAAAACACAGGATGCAAGAAATGTTTATGCTAACCAGCTTAGCTTCCCCTGCTTGATTCTGCCAGCTGGAGGGAATTAGTTCAGAGCCTTGTTTCTGTCATTGCTATGATAATTTCACCTGCTAAGGAGGGTCCTCCCAGGCGCCCTAAATTTCCTCCCATCTGTCTGTCAGGGTTCCCAGCTCGATACCCCCTGCATGGAAGCTCCGGCCACTGGCGCCAGGCAGCCAACACTATGATCTCACTCCCAGGTGGGAGGGGGCTCTCATCCTTTTGCCCCCAAGTATATAAACCCGACATGTGCTGAATAAAGTTGACATTTACCCTTTGGGCAAATGATCCTGGTCTCTGTGTGTGTCTGTTTTCAACTCCTAGGATATTGATCCAGTCTCGCGGTTTGATATGGGAGGCGCGCCTTATA